GGAGACCGGATACAGTGAATGCGGGGTCCGGGGAGACCGGATACAGTGAATGCGGGGTCCGGGGAGACCGGATACAGTGAATGCGGGGTCCGGGGAGACCGGATACAGTGAATGCGGGGTCCTGGGTTTAGTAACACTTTATAGGGTTTCTGGCATGGTCAGGTATATTTTTGCACTTGTTGAAAAGATATAACAAAACCTGCTCAGTTGTATATTTAACAGACAAAAGGGAACAAATAAGAGGAGTTCATTGTTCGGGTTTGCATAACACTAAAATACAATTGTAGAGTTGATTTGATGTAAATTGAGGATGACGAGCCACGTGAGAGTGAATGTAAAGTAGAAGTGGAATCTGACTGGGGCACTTTCCTATCAGTGTAATAGAAGTGTAATTTTTGGGACTTCCCTTTTTATGAAAAGTGATTGTTTACTGGTAAGCCACCTGCCTTGTTCTCTGCAGCAAAGAGGAACTAACTCCCATTACCACACCGTGTCTGGATTAATAGGCACTTGGTTGTTTTCTCTCTGCTTAAAGTGATTATTAAGGCCCCTTTCAGATGGGGCGGACCTGTCAGGGGATCCCCCTGCTTAGCGGGGGATCTCTCAATTGATGGATGACAGGCGGTCTGTTTCCATCCAGCCGCCCCATAGAATTCGGATAGCAAAGTTATTGTTTGCAACAAGCAAGTTGTGTAATAAATAAATAAAATACTGATCACTTCCCCAAAGTAGTACAGTGTTACTATGGTAACATTATAATACTTTGGTCATAGTTAAAAAAAGAGAAAAATTTATAAAAAATTAAAAATAATAAAAAAATTGAAGAAAAATATTTTTTTTTTTTCGTACTGTCACCAGTCAGTGTCCCTGATCACCGCCACACACCAGTTATATGCTGACGCTGTACTTCACTGGTGACAGTATGTAAAAAAAAAAAAGTGACTTTTCTTAATTTCTTCATTTTCCGAAAAATGACAAAACAAATTGCAACTTCAAAAAACTTGCCATGCCTCTTATGAAGTACGTCGGACTGTCTACTTTGCAAAAAAGGGTCATTTGGGGGATATCTGTACTGTTCTGACATTCTTGGACCTCAAGTAATTAGATTGGCTGTCAGTACTTCAGGATTGATCAATATTCAGATCTATACCATAGTTTGTGAACTCTATAACTTTCCTACAAACTAAATAATATATACTAATTTGGGTTATTTTCACCAAAGACATGTAGCAGAATACATCTCGGCCTAAATTTATGAAGAACAATTATTTATTTGCAAACTTTTATAGCAGAAACTAAGAAAAACGTGTTTTTTTTTTTTTTTTTTTTTTCAAAATTTTCTGTCTTTTTTTGTTAATTTAGCAAGGAAAATAAACACCCAGTGGTGATTAAATACCACCAAAAGAAAGCTCTAGTTGTGTGAAGAAAATGATAAAATTTTAGTTTGGGTACAATGTTGTATGACCGCGCAATTGTCATTCAAAGTGTGAGAGCGCTGAAACCTGAAAAATGGCCTGGGCAGGAAGGGGGTAAAAGTGCCCGGTATGGAAGCGGTTAATGAATTTTAATACATAAAAACACAATATATATAAAAGATGATGTTACAGTTCTTAAAAAAACCTCTATAATCAACACTTTAAAATTTTTTACAGGTTACCTGGTTAGAGTTACAGAGGAGGTCCAGCGCTAGAATTATTGCTCTTGCTATAACAACAATCGTGGCTGGTTACATATGCGGCTTGGCTTACAAATGTGTTTGCTTCTGCATGCGAGTAAACAGGACAAGAATGCTTTAAAAATTTTTTTTTTTTTTTCTTATTCATTTTTTTTTTTTTTCTTTCTAACACTTTTATTCCTATTAGAATGTGAACATCTCTTGTAATAGGAATAAGGCATGACAGGTCCTCTTTATCTCTCCTCTATGCCGGAAAGCCAACTCTATGGTAACCCGGCGCCATCGCCAGATTGGTTATCCAGCTCCCTGATCGCATGCGAGAGCACAGAGACGCAGAAGGGGGAGACTTCCCTACTGCTGCCTATAAAAGCAATCCAGCGGCTAATCAGCCACTTGGATGGCTTTTACGAAAGAGGGAATCGTCCGCTGAAAAAGGAAAAAAAAAAAAAGGTATATGAATGATGCCTGTAGCTGAGGAAGGATGGAAAGAAGTGAAATGGGGGAGGAAGAAAGGAGGAGGAGGAGGGGAGGGGAAGGAAGAAAAAGGAGGAGGGGAAGGAAGAAAAAGGAGGAGGGGAAGGAAGAAAAAGGAGGAGGGGAAGGAAGAAAAAGGAGGAGGGGAAGGAAGAAAAAGGAGGAGGGGAAGGAAGAAAAAGGAGGAGGGGGAGGGAGGAAGGAAAAGGAGGAGGGGGAGGGAGGAAGGAAAAGGAGGAGGGGGGAGGGGGGAGGAAGGAAGGAAAAGGAGGAGGGGAAGGAAGGAGAGGGAGGGAGGAAGGAGAGGAAGGAAGGAAAAGGAGGAGGGGGGGGAGGAAGGAAGGAAAAGGAGGAGGGGAAGGAAGGAAAAGGAGGAGGGGAAGGAAGGAGAGGGAGGGAGGAAAAGGAGGAGGGGAAGGAAGGAGAGGGAGGGAGGAAAAGGAGGAGGGGAAGGAAGGAGAGAGAGGGAGGAAAAGGAGGAGGGGAAGGAAGGAGAGGGAGGGAGGAAAAGGAGGGGGGAGGAAGGAAGGAAAAGGAGGAGGGAGGGGGGAGGAAGGAAGGAAAAGGAGGGGGGAGGAAGGGAGGAGAGGGAGGGAGGAGGAGAGGGAGGGAGGAGGAGAGGGAGGAGGGAGGAAAAGGAGGAGGAGAGGGAGGGAGGCAGGAAAAGGAGGCGGGGGGAGGAAGGAAGGAAAAGGAGGAGAAGGGATGGAGGAAAGGTAGTGGAGGGAGGGTGTGTATAATATATATATATATATATATATATATATATATATATATATTATATATATATATATATATATATTATATATATATATATATATATATATATATATTACATACATACACGCTCTGTATCTCTATCTCAGACAGCAACAAAATAAACAGCAGATGTGACCTCTATGCTAGTAAAAATAAAAAGATAATATAATAAGGTTATAGAGTTAATTGTGTGTAATATAAAACTTTTTTTTTTTTTTTTTAATCTATAACCTCATATTATTTTTTTTATTTTTACTTGCATAGAGAAGGTTACATCTGCTGTTCATTTTGTTGCCGTCTGAAATATTTCCTGTCCCAGAGACGCAACAGGAAGTGAGTGATTCTCCCCACATTTTTAGCCTTGGGGACAGTGGTCAGCAGGATATATACTGGATATATTATGTACCGTATTTGCCGGCGTATAAGACGGCCCCCTACTTTTCCTGTTAAAATATAGGGTTTGAGCTATACTCGCCGTATAAGACTACCCCTCTTTTATCCCCACTGACACCAATGATGGGGCGCTATTTTTCCCACTGATACCAATGATGGGACACTATTCCTCCCACTGACACCAATGATGGTGCCCCATCATTAGTGTCAGTGTGTGAGGAATAGTGCCCCATCATTGGTGTCAGTGGGAGGAATAGTGCCCCATCATTAGTCAGTGGGAGGAATAGTGCCCCATCATTGGTGTCAGTGGGAAGAATCGTGCCCCATCATTGGTGTCAGTGGAGGAATAGTGCCCCATCATTAGTGTCAGTGGGAGGAATAGTGCTCCATCATTCGTGTCAGTTGGAGGAATAGCGCCCCATCATTGGTATCAGTGGAAGGAATAGTGCCCCATCATTGGTATCAGTGGAAGGAATAGTGCCCCATGGTTGGTGTCAGTGGGGAGGAGGAATAGTGCCCCATGGTTTGGTGTCAGTGGGGAGGAGGAATAGTGCCCCATGGTTGGTGTCAGTGGGGAGGAGGAATAGTGCCCCATCGTTGGTGTCAGTGGGGAAGAGGAATAGTGCCCCATGGTTGGTGTCAGTGGGGAGGAATAGTGCCCCATGGTTGGTGTCAGTGGGGGAGGAATAGTGCCCCATCGTTGGTGTCAGTGGGGGAGGAATAGTGCCCCATGGTTGGTGTCAGTGGGGGAGGAATAGTGCCCCATCGTTGGTGTCAGTGGGGAGAAAAGTGCCCCATCGTTGGTGTCAGTGGGGAGGAATAGTGCCTCATCGTTGGTGTCAGTGTGGAGGAGGGAATAGTGCCCCATCGTTAGTGTCAGTGGGGGAGAGGAGCGGCTGCTCCTTCTTTCAGTTCGGCCCGCTTGATTTTCGCGGGGCCGTTCGGCTCCGCCTCCTCGCCGGTGATTGGTCGCCTGTGTGCCTTTCCAGTGCTGGCGCCCAATCACCGGTGAGGAGGCGGAGCCGAGCGAGCGGCGGGACCATCGAGCGGCCGAACTGAAAGAAGAAGCAGCCGCGCTTCCTGGACCGGATCGTCGTGGGACCGGGACCGGAGCCAGGTAATGTACAGCAGCCCCCTGCCCTCCCCTGTACTTGGTGTCCGTTGGAGGAGGAGGGGGGGTGGCGCCGCCCCCTCGAAAAAAGTGCCGCCCTGACACCGGCTCGCCGTATACCGGCGTATAAGACGACCCCCGACTTTTAAAAGATTTTCACGGGTTGAAAAGTCGTCTTTATACGCCGGCAAATACGGTAATTTCTGGATAGACCCAATCTGGTCCACAAACAAAAAAACAAAACAAAAACCACCCCAAATAAAAACTGCACAGGGGTTCTAACACTTTGCTACTCTTGAACGAAGTGCATGTATAGCCGGTGCTTTAAATATGGGCCAGCCAGCAGGCCATCTTGTATTTGTGTCTTTCTAAGCCTCCCCCCTCCTGTTCCAGCAATCACAAATCTCATTCCTCTGCTTTTCCGAGGACCCCAGAGAGTGTATTAGGCTGCCGCGGTGATACATTGGCTGTCAGTCTCCGGCGTTCTGATAACACGGCTTTTTTGGTTAAATGTAATCCGCGATCTGACTGAGGCTTCTCACACGGTGACATGTCCATTAACTTGTCTGCCCTGTGTGTATTCTGCAGTGGGAAGATGCCTGAAGTGGATTATGTGGTTTTAACGGAGTGGTTTAACTGGATCACAAAGAACATTGACCTCTCTGTAGACCTCATAGGTAAGCCCTGAAATTCTCCACTTTATATATTTGAGTGCAAATATGATCGGTATGTGCGGTTTTAATTGTGCCAAGCCCTTTAAGCAGGAACTTCCTTATAGAGTACTGGTGGTTAAGCAGGAACAGGCCTCAAAGCAGGACTAAATTGTATCGGAAACAACTGTTGAATTCGTTTTTAATATTCAACGCAAACTTCCCCATCCATCCATGTCTCCATGCTTTATTTTGCTGAGAAATCACTTTGAAAAACACCTCTCAACCATTTTTAGCTACCAAGGGCTTGGTGATTCATTTAGCATTTACTTCCTGGGATCCGTCTGCCCTTGGCTCAGGCATGCAGGCAGGAGGCTGTGCCTCCAAAGGTATACCAATCACTAAACCCGCGCCAATTGATGCTTTTAAATATTTATATCCAATCAGCTGCCACTTTAAATACTATGGCAAAATAATAAAAAAAAATACCACCCCTATTATTGGTGATAATGTGTTTGCACATAGAGATCATTAGAAGGAATTAATGTGACGCTGCTAATTATCGCCAATAATAGGGGTGGTATTTTTTTTTAATTAGGAGGCTGTGCCTAGCTGACAAAGCCTCCCCTCCAGATGAAAGAGAAAAAAATGGAGACTCCTAGGATATATGACCTCATTTTGACTAGGACAGAAAACTGGAAGCAACTTGAGGAAGTGAAGGCAACTAAAGAGAGGGAAAAAAAAAAACGTTTTTAAGGCTGGATTCACATATATGCAGTGCGGTATATCGCATGTGATGCGCACAGGAACCGCGCCGCATTCTTGTGCAAATCACATGTGATTTGTGTGCGGTGCGATCGGAGCCGTACATTTTGTATGGGTCAAATCGCACCCGCACCAAAAAGGTACAGGACCCTTTTTTGGGTCCGTACTAGAATTGGATCGCATGGGTGTTCACATCTATGCGATCCGATTCTGCGCATCGCACTGCATTTTGCGGACCGATTTTCAGGGTGTTGTTAACATACACACCCACAGTGGTTCGCATGAACGGGGTGCGATTGCGGTGCGGAATTTGCACAGAAAACACTGAATTCCGCACCATATCAGTAGAAAAAGGATTAAAAATTGTTAAAGTTGATAGTTTAGTTCCGCTTTAACCACTTTCAGTCCGGGACAATTCTGGCATTCCTTTCCTACATATAAAATACATCATCTTTTGCAAGAAAACGACTTGGAACTCCTAAAAATTAATTTTTTTTTTTGCAGAGGCCCTAGAGAATAAAATGGTGGGCTTTGCATAAATTATCTCACACGATATTTGTGCAGTGGTTTTTCAAACGCAAATTAAAGAAAACAAAAAAAAAAAAAAAAAAAAAAAAACTTTAATGGATCTGAATGCACAAAAATAATACCCAATTATTTGGTAGAATATGATATTACGCTGAGTAAACATATATCAGACATGTCATGCCGCCCAGCCGTCAATCTACTATAGGCTGGGCGGGACACTCGCCGTTGTGACTGGGCGTCATATGACGTCCTGTCAAAAGGAGCCACTCACACGGCCGCGCAGCGGCACGATCTTTCAGTGGCTGTGTCCACGGGACACAGCCGATGACATACCACTACACCGGCCCGTTGCCAGTGTCATGTGACCAATCACAGCAGATCACATGTCAATTGTATACAATGGATGGCTTCCTGTCATGCCATCCATTGTATACAATTATGGTGTTAGCTGTGACTGGTCAAGGCAGTCACATGATACAGACAGGGCCAATCACAGCCCATCTGTATCATGTGATCAGCTTTGCCCAATCACAGCTAATCAGAATAAAAGACTGACTGAACCAGTTTCATTCAGTAACAAAGATTGCAAATATCAATGAAATACATTGGTATTAGCAATCATAATGTGTTAAAAAAAAAAAAAAAAAATCCTGATCACTTGCCCAGAGTAGTTCAGTGCTACTATGGTAACGATGTATTGCTTTGGTCACAGTGTGCTGAAAATTAAAATAGTAATGTAATAAAAAAAAAATAAACATTTGCAAAAAAAATACAAAATGCCTCCAGAGTGGGGGAACTCTAATACAGGAGGTGTGTTTACTGGCTAGATCGCCAGGTGAAAAAAGAAAACTTCAGCCACCACATCTGATGATTGATGAGCTGCAATCTCCTATCCTTCTCTCTTTCTTTTTCTTTCTCTTTCTCTCTTTTTTTTTTTTTTTTTTTTTTTTTTTTTAATAAAAAACAAAACAAAAATTTTTATATATATATATATATATATATATATATATATATATATATATATATAAAAAATCTATCATACACACACACTGTATGTTGAAATGTGATGTTATTGCAAAATATTTAAAAAAATTAATTTCAAATATATGTTAAAAAATTTTTTTTTTTTGTATGTTAAAAAATCTGAAGCATCTATTTAAAAAAAGTATATTTTTTAAAATGTATATATTCTTCAGATTTTTTTTTTTTTGAAACATATAAAAAAAGTCATTTTAACAGATATTTTTACATATATTTGTAAATGCATTCCAAAAATATAGATTTGTATTTTTAAAGACATACAGTATATTTGAAATGTATATTTCAAATCTATTTTTCTTCCGTATGGGTAGATATGACTTCAGGTGCGATTTGCAAATCGTATGTCGCACTGGTGTGAACCAAGGCTGATACGGCTTTAGCAGACGTCTGTGTTAGAATGACATCCTACCAATTCTCTTCACTGCCCGCTCTTCTTAGGATATAAAAACATTACCTGTGATATATTCTGTCAGTATGGAGGCTTTAGAGGAATTGGAATGAGCATTTCACGGAGTGCGTTCCACGTTCATCCATCAGCTGAATGAGAGAGAAGATTGCAGTGGGCCCTGGAGGCACGGAGTCGCTTTGTAGCATTGGCAGATGTCACACCACCTGTCAATCTTGGCCGTGCATACATCACCAGAAGAACAATCGAGAGTGCGACAAAGAAAATAGCTAAAATAATCTGTGAGGCTCAATCTACAAAGCGAAGGATAAGAATCCTCGTGTGACAGTTATTTTCGGCTTCATCCAATTTGAGGTTTAGGGCTCATTCACACTTGTGCGCTATGGCAACGCGCACCAAAACATACGTGTTAACATGGCATACCACAATGCATAGCAATATACCGTATTTTTCGCTCCATAAGACGCACCTAGATTTTAGAGGAGGAAAACAAGGCAAAAAAAATTCTGAACCAATGGACTGCAGACATAGGACAGGAAATGACCAGAGACTGCAGACACGGTACGGGGGACGACCAGAGACCGCGGACACGGTACGGGGGACGACCAGAGACCGCGGACACGGTACGGGGGACGACCAGAGACCGCGGACACGGTACGGGGGACGACCAGAGACCGCGGACACGGTACGGGGGACGACCAGAGACCGCGGACACGGTACGGGGGACGACCAGAGACCGCGGACACGGTACGGGGGACGACCAGAGACCGCGGACACGGTACGGGGGACGACCAGAGACCGCGGACACGGTACGGGGGACGACCAGAGACCGCGGACACGGTACGGGGGGGACGACCAGAGACTGCAGAATTTGACAGGTATCCGTTCCCACTTTCCCGGAGTTATCCGCCCCCCCTGTAGTCTTGTGGGACACATGACAGGTCCCAGAAGACTACGGGGCCATTCACAAAGCGCAGAGATTCTCGCACATGTGCAGTGGACACCCGGCTGTGAAGCCGCAAGCTGTCACAGCCGGGTGTCCACGCTGAAGATGCCGGCGCCAAGGAGAGAAGACAGCTGGTGAAAGCAGGACACCACTGGACCGAGGAACAGGTAGGACGGAGAAGCGGGTTCTTCTGCACAGTAGAGCCGAGCGGCTGGCCCTCTATTCTAACACTGTGGTGGTGGGAATACCAGGCCTGCCGCTCCATATTCGCTCCATATGACGCACAGACATTTTCCCACATTTGTTGAGGGGGGGGGGGGGGGGAAGTATGTCTTATGGAGCGAAAAAATACGATGCCTTCTGTATGTAAAACAAAAACGCATGCGCATCCATCCATACCTTTGTTCAAGACTGGCCTCTCCTGTACATGGGCAACCTGGGTGCCGGCCATTGTAGTCCATCTATTGAAAATATGACGGAATGTCGGCCGCATTACACTTTGCTCCTCTTACAGTATTTTTTAACAATCAATGAATTGACCGCCTACAGCAACGTCTCCACCAAAGAACCAACCTTACTGACGCGTTTTACCACTTCTGATTTCCTCACATGGATAGGATTTCCCCTTTCCTGAGAGCCAGGAGTGGTAAAACGCGTCAGTAGGGTTGGATCTTGGGTGGAGACGTTGCTCTATTTCCGCCTGCTGTTTATAAACGGCAGGATGGTGGCACTCCAGGGGCGGGTTGCCGTTCATAAACGGCACCCGCCATTTCTAGCTGTGCGTGCTCCCTGGGAGCGCGTAGCACCACGATCCGGTGCCTGCTGTGTCCTCCAGACACAGTGAAACACCGATTGTCGGATGGGACCTCTGTACGAGGTCCCGATCATGTGATCGCTGATTGGCCAATCAGCGATCACATGCAAAGTAGTAAGCAAGATGTCACTTGTGACATCATTGCTTACTACGTGTGAAATCTGTGAATGATCACAGAGGTCACATGGTACAAGGCTATTCACAACAGCCTTGTACCATGTGACAAGCTGTGACCAATCACAGCTCACTCAGTTCTCAATGGCTGCAAGAAATGCAGACAGAGAGAAAGAAATGATTGCTTTTACATCCTATATGGGTGTAAAAGCAATCACTGTTAAAAAAAGTAAAAAAAAATCTTCATCACCCCCCACAAGTAGTACAGTTGTTGCTAAGTTGCTAAGGTGACAGTATGTAAAAAAAAAAAAACCCATAAATAATAATATACAAAAATAAAATAAAAATGTAAAAAAAGTTTAAAAATTTATAATTTTTGGTTAAACTAATTTGGCTTATTTTTTTTTTTACTAAAAAGATAACGGAATACATTTCGGACAAGATTTATGATGAAAGATTATTTATTTGCAAAATTTTATAAGAAAAACACTTTTTTTTTTCAAAATTTGTGGACATTTTCATTTACATAGCAAAAAAAAAAAATATCCCAGCGGTGAATAAATACCACCAAAATAAAGCTTTATCTGTCTCAAAAAAATGGTAAAAAATTAATATGGGTACAGTATTGTATGACCGCGCAATTGTCATTCAAAGTGTGATAGCACTGAAAGCTGAAAATTGCCCTGGACAGGAAGGGGGTAAACGTGTCCAGACTGGAAGTGGTTAAATAGAAAGAAAAAAAAAAAAATACCAGAGGTGCTAGTTGGAGTGCGGCTGACCATCATTCACACCGTCTCTATGTCCCAGTCTTTGTGAATGTCATCCCAACACATTGTACTGTAGTGCTTAGTGTACCACATTGTATATACCGTGCGTTGTGGTGCACTGCATTTTTAATAACTGGTCATATATATATTTTCTTTTATCCATTGTGGTGTTAGAAGCCCACTTGAGTGAAAGCTGTGCGCCATGACGTGTATTGGTGTTACTAAACCCACAACAGTAAAATCAGTCTGTATATGCAGTAAAGCATGCTTGTTATACTCACTTTGGAACCGAAGGATTTAATCCTCCGCAGTGTGTAGAAAGGATGTTTGATCCTGTCTTCTCTGATCCTCCCCATCCTCCAATGTCCCCAATCCATCTGCTGATAGAACAGAGACTTGGGGACAAGCTGCACATGCTCAGTTTTGTGTGTATTGCTAGAGTTTTGTTGTTTGATTTGTTTTTTGGGAGAGTGCATGTGATCAGCATAGGGCCAATCAGCCAGTCTAGATAGAGGGTCAGGGGTCATGCAGGCTCTTGGGACAATCAGTGGAGAATGAAAACTCCTATTAGACTTAACCAGTGATCGGCCGGAAACTGATAGAAGTCACAAGACTGTTTGATCCTGTCTTCTCTGCCCCTCCTCTTGTTGAAATGACCACCCGATACAGACGGAATCCGTAGTCACATGCACATGCTCAGTTTAGTATGTATTGCTAGAGAGGTTTTTTTTTTTTTTTTTTTTTTTCCCCTCTCGGGAGAGTGCATGTGATCAGCAGAGGGCCAATCAGCACTATCCAGACAGAGGTCAGGGGATTTGTATCCTCCTAGAGCAGAAAGAAAACTCCTCCTACAAGCTTTAACTAGTGCTCTGCTACAGTCACAAGACTGCTCTAACTGCTGATGAAGAAAAAAGTATTTAGCAATTTATATTTACTAAAACAATTGCATTTCTATGTTGTGTGTACTGTGGGAGACCGGATATAGTGAATGCGGGGTCTGGGAGACCGGATATAGTGAATGCGGGGTCCGGGGAGACCGGATGTAGTGAATGCGGGGTCCGGGGAGACCGGATGTAGTGAATGCGGGGTCCGGGGAGACCAGATATAGTGAATGCGGGGTCCGGGGAGACCGGATATAGTGAATGCAGGGTCCGGGGAGACCGGATGTAGTGAATACGGTGTCCGGGGAGACCGGATGTAGTGAATGCGGGGTGGGGAGACCGGATGTAGTGAATACGGTGTCCGGAATGCGACCGGGGAGACCGGATGTAGTGAATGCGGTGTCCGGGGAGACCGGATGTAGTGAATGCGGTGTCCGGGGAGACCGGATGTAGTGAATGCGGTGTCCGGGATGTAGTGAATGCGGGGTCCGGGAGACCGGATGTAGTGAATGCGGTGTCCGGGGAGCGGAGTGAATGCGGATGTAGTGAATGCGGTGTCCGGGAGGGGAGAGCGGATGTAGTGAATGCGGTGTCCTGGGAGAGCGGATGTAGTGAATGCGGTGTCCTGGGAGAGCGGATATAGTGAATGCGGTGTCCTGGGAAACCGGATATAGTGAATGCGGTGTTTTGTTGTTTTTTTTTTTTTTTTTTTTTTTACTGGGTATTTTTTCAAAAAAAATATATAAATTTTTTTAAAATTGCACATTTCATTTTCGGTTTTCAGCCAAGTGCATTTTGAATTTTCAGTTTCGACACCAGAATTTTAATTTTGGTGCACCACTAGTTTGCGTATACATCTGTTTTTACTTTTCTAATAGAGGGCTATCGCTGAGGTAATGCACACAGTTGGCGCGCCCATTTTTTTTTTTTTTCTACAAACACTCCTCATTGTGTAAACGCCTTCTAAAATATTTCTTTTAAGATACAATTGCGCTCACATAGATAAATACAATGCTCAATAAGAACAAATCACCGAGACTGGGTATTGCGTTCACTTCCAGTTTGTGATGCCTTCAGGAGGAGGCTCCGCCCGAGTTATTTCGTCATCAGATGTCTTCCGTCACCCTGGATGGTGTCTCGTGATGAAGAAACGTGTTGTGTTGGAGAACATCTTGATCACTGGCTGCAGGCACTGATCAGTGTATTTTGACAGCAGCGAGTCCCATGAATACATTGTCGCAGCAGGGGGGTTCTTCCATCTTTTTCGTTTGTGTGGATTGAAGTTTTTTTTTTTTTTTTTTTATGGGGCTAGCTTTGGTGTCATGGATGAATGGATGGATTTTACACCCCAAGATGTTGATTCTGCATAGCAAAGTTGCTTTCAGATAGGTCACTTTTTTTCATTTAGTAAAACCCTTTTTTGTATATATATTTTTTAAATTATGCACAAGGGACAGTATTTATTAATGCAAATGTCCCTTGTGCTGATGGTTACTGCTTTTAGTTGAAATCTGAAGTCCTCGGCTCCCCTTTTCCATGTTCACAACCGTAATCTTCCAGGTTCTGCGGGCGGGGGGGGGGTTAATAGAGCCAAGGGACCTTTGATAGGCACGCATCCTGCCAACTATGACTGCCCTGTCCCCCCCCCCCCCCCCCCCACCCTCCACCCTCCACCCTTCACCATTCATAGAATGTGTAGTAAAGCTTCCATGAATAGAAAATGATCTATGGGCGGATGAATGAAAGAAGACTTTGGATTTCAACTAAAGCAATGGCCATCAGCACAAGGGACACTTGGCATTGATAGTAAGTACTGTCCCTTGTGCTGATATTAAAAAAAAAAAAAAAAATGTACATAGATTGCCAGCACTTTTAGATGGAGTGGAGGACAGGTTCTCTTTTAAGCAGTCACTGCTAGCTGTAGACCCGTCCTGCATTGGGCAGATTGCTGCTGCCAGTATAGAATATTGATTTTGTGTTTCCTGTGCAGCTGGGGTAGCAATCCACTGGGAGGATCTCTGGCAGTAAATACACACTCATTGTTCACTGCCGTGCAATGTGACAGCTCACAGCTATAAATAATTAATAAAGCACATGTGTTTTCCCCGAACAGTGTATCTGCGGACGTCCCCAGAAACCTGTTATCAAAGGTTAAAAATGAGGTGCAGAGAAGAGGAGCGCGTGATACCGCTGGTAAGGCCATATGATTGGATAATGGTTTCCATTACCGTGTCTTCCTTTAAACATCCGTCTAAGCTGACCTTTTACTCCATTCAGGTGAAGGAGCAGAAAGTCACAACCAATCATCAAAAATGGCAGTCTGCTCCGTACATAAAAAAAAAATAGTTCACGGCTCTAGCCTGCAAACCCAAAAGCATTGTCAGTCTGGGGGTAGGGGAGTGTTAGAGATACTAGCAGATTTAAATACACTAACACATGGAAGCCAAACTCCAGCTAATGTTTTATAGGCAGTTGCAGCAACCGTTTTCCTTTGGAGATAAAGGTTTTGCATAAATACACCCCTGTCAGTGTTAAATGGTCAGCTTACCAATTCTTAAATGTGATGGCTGCATTAGTTTTTCTTTTGTAGGCTTGGCTTCTATATTCATATGGTGATCCAGCCAGTAAGTCTGTTTTTCAACATAACAAGCTCTCTTGCAGTTATAGGGATCGGCCACATCACCCTGAACGCGCCCGATCTCATCTGATCCCAGAGGCTAAACTGAGTCTGGCCTAGTTAGTACTTGGATGAGTTACAGGGATCAACCAGACCATCTAACACTGACAGGGGTGCTAAAAAAATGATCAGATTTTATTTATGCAAACCCTTATGGAAGGAAAACTGTTGCTGTAACTGCTTATAAAAAACGTTAGCTGGAGTTTGGCTTCAGTTAGTGTATTTAAATCTGCTAGTTCCGCTAACACTCCCCTACTCCCAGAATGACAATGCTGCTGTCTACTGTGCTTCTTCATCCAGAGTGGACACTCTAATACAGGAGAGGTTTGTTACTGGCAAGATCACCAGGTAAAAAAACAGGAGAAAAAAAGAAAAAAAAAACAAATGCAGCCACCACATCTAATGGTTGGTAAGCTATAATATATTATATTTTTGGTTTTGGGTTTATTACCGCTTTAACACCCCTTGATAAAAGGTAAGCCAACTGTACATGGTTTTATGGCGTTGTCAAAAAATATTAAAGGCCCCTTTTACACTATAAGGTGCATTATTGCTTTTATGGTAACATTCTGTATTTCTGTGTTTGTAGGAAGACCCACCATTTTTAAAAACGTTATTTTTGAATGGATTAGATGGTTACTATAAATTCAGATGTATAACTAGGAGGGTGTAGCTGTGTCTGAAGACTGTGCATCACTGACAGCCATGTGTCTATACCAGGGGTCTCCAAACTTTCTAAACAAAGGACTGGACCGTGACCAGTAGGAGTAGAAAAGGTCCCGAAGTCGGTATGAAAAAATAATGACCCCTAGCGTTCAATATTGGGTTGGCCCATCCTTTGCATCTATAACCATTTTACCTCTTCTGGGAAGGTTGTCCACCAGGTTTAGGAGGATATCTATGGGAAGGTTTGACCATTCTTCCAGAAGCGCATTTGTGAGGTCAGGTACTGATGTCAGACGAGAAGGCCTGGCTCACAGTCTCCGCTCTAATCTATCCCAAAGGCGTTCTATCGGGTTGAGGTCAGGACTCTGTGCAGGCCAGTTAAGTTACTCCACCCCAAATTCAATAATCCATGTCTGGTTTACAGGCATGTTGGAACAGAAAGGGGCCATCCCTAAATTGTTCCCACAAAGTTGGGAGCATGAAATTGTCCAAAATGTCTTGGCATGCTGATGCCTTGAGAGTTCCCTTCACTGGAACTAGGGGGCCAAGCCCAACCCCTGAAAAACAGCCCCACAGCATAATCCCCCCCCCTCCACAATCTTTTACACTTGGCACAATGCAGTCAGGAAAGTACCGTTCTCCTGGCAACCACCAAACCCAGACACGTCCTTCGGATTTCCAGACAGAGAAGCGTGATTCGTCACACCTGAGAACACGTCTCCACTGCTCTAGAGTCCAGTGGCGGTGTGCTTTACACCACTGCATCTGACACTTTGCATTGCACTTGGTGATGTAAGGCTTGGATGCAGCTGCTCAGCCATGGAAACCCATTCCATGAAGCTCTCTACGCACTGTTGTTGTGCTAATCTAAAGGCCACACAAAGTTTGGAGGTCTTTAGCTATTAACTCTGAAGACAGTTGGCGACCTTTGCGCACTGTGTGCTTCAGCATGTGCCGACCCCACTGTCTTATTACGTGGCCTACCACTTGGTGGCTGAGTTGCTGTTGTTCTCAGTTGCTTCCACTTTGTTATAATACCACTAACAGTTGACCGTGAAAAATTTAGTAGCCAGGAAATGTCACAGATGGACTTATTGTACAGGTGACCACCTATCACGGGACCACGCTTGGAGTCACTGAGCTCCTGAGAGCGACCCATTCTTTCGCAAATGTTTGTAGAAGCAGTCTGCATGCCTAGGTGATGATTTTATACACCTGTGGCCATGGAGGGGATTGGAACACCTGAATCCAATGATTTGGAGGGCTGGCCCAATACTTTTGGCAATATAGTGTAGGTGCGATTTGTCACGTGGCACAACAACCCTTTTTCAGGTGTCCAACAATTTATGTAAGTGAATGTCCGATGTCCCAACAATTCTTCTTGTGTATACTGGTCAGATATTCAACAACTATATAGGTGTGGTTTGTCAGGTGTCCAATTAATGTGGATATGATGGTCAGGTGTCCACAAACGTTTGGTCCAGTGGCGGACTGACAATTCATGGGGCCCCCGGGCAATAGGGGATCATGGGGCCCCTGTGTCCTTGCCCAAACTCAAAAAAGCTTATGAAAAAGGTACCAGGAGCATCTCATGGGGCCCCCTACTGACCCCGGGCAGTGCCCGAGTTTCCAAATGGTCAGTCCGCCCCTGGTCCTATCATAGTAGTAGGTTTCCTTGCATGATTCATTGTTACTGCTTTGGCTGCCATTATGCTTGTATATTTTTCTGTCTATAGCATTTCCAGTCCATCAATTTTAACCTTTTATAAAATACTTGATATTTAAGGCACAAAGAAAAGCCTTCTTTGTAAAGGTGTTGAATAAATACAGCTGTTATTCAAGGTTTTCGGAGAGTCATCACTTATTACCGCAGTGGTTAATGGTTCACTTCTCTCAAAGAGCACTGCCTTGAATGAATAGGGTCAGACACTCTAGAGAAGAGTAATAGAGCAGGTAGTTGTATAAGTGCAATTACAGCAACAGACTGACATTTGCTGTGCCAGTTTGTAAGGAAATGGCAAGCGAGGAGCTAATGAGGATCAGCAGAAAACTTGGCAAGGGGTCAGCACAGGCATTGTTTGGTCAGTGGGGTGAACAGTAGGACGTTGAGAGAAGAGCGGCCTTGTCGTGACACTTATTAAATTTAGATGTGAACAATGTAGATCCCGACTCTGTGCCCCAAGGACAAAACACCTCATTTTTTATTTTGCAGGAATATCTGTACGCCATTCACAGTCTTTATGAAGAGTGGCTCATTAAGCAGACCTCTTTTTCTGTGCCAGCTCAGGTCCTTGTAAGTATTGTAGATGTGTGCTTTATTGATCCAATTACTGCTTCATGAGATATCTCTCCATTTATTCAGCCTAACAGAAGACCAAGCTTGAAAGGGATTTTCTACCACAAGGTGCATACTGATATTAGAGCAGGGGCTCTTCATCTTTTTAAGATTACAGACTCCAGTGGATTGCCCTATATGTCCCCATACGCCCTTCATCAGACTGTCAAAATTATCCTCCTCACCAGTCCTATTAAGTATCAGTATGACTTCAACAGATGTCAATGCCTTGGATCGACCTTACATATAGTTAGGAAAAGATCAGTTGAAATAAAGATTTTATATATTTTTTTAGTGGAAAGTTGTAAAGGTAGAACCCCACCCCCCAAAAAAAAATACCTGAGACTGATTTCGATCCAGCAAGGTGCACGAGAGCCAAGGCTCTCCCGCTCTTCATTGGCTTGGATACAGCAGCGAGAGCCATTGGCTCCCACTGCTGTCAATAAGAGCCATTGACGAGGGAGCGAGGGGACACACAGAGCAGGGCTTGGGAGCTAGCATGCACGAGTGCTGCTTGAGATATCACAGCATTGCTGAATATTGTATGTCAAATTTATCACCAGGCCTGAGATGGTGGTTGATTTGTATTATTGAGATATATAATCTCAATGTATCAAGGCCCAACTCTGGGCAAAAATTGTTTTCTCGTGCAGTTGGGCTGTCCCTGCACTGCATGGGTTAACTGCTTGTTTTTTTTTTTTTTGTATAGAGAAGTGGAGATATACTTACCTGATCCTCTCAGGACAAGACTGGTCTGGCACCCCCGTTACTCCAGCGGTCTTAAATAGTGGACTGTTCCTGTCATAATCACACCCAGAGCAGCCTCCGTAGACTAGGAACAGTCCACAACTGGACAGTGGGGGTGTGCCATTCTCTGAAGGATTGGGTGAGTATGAGCTTTCTGCTCACCCCTAGACAAAACAAGCAGTTGACCCATGCAGTGTGGGCACAGCCCCACTGCATGGGGTTTTTTTTTGCCCAGAGATAGGCTTTAACACTACTGACAAATGCAGATTACTTTTTTGTTCCGTTTTTGTTTCCAGGAAAGTCCCTTTTTTTAAATTTTGTGATTTGGTTGTTAGCTTTGTATGTTTGGGATGCGGAAGGCCCCTAAAGGGCAAGATTTATTTGAAATCCATAATGTATTTATTTTTTTTTTTTTAGTTTGCCCAAAACAAAAAATAAAGTTTTTGGATGGAGAGGAAAGGTTAGAATCTGTTGGGTTTTTACTGTTATCTAGGGCTCAGTGAGAGAGTAATTCTTGTCTACTCTATTCCAAGCTAAAAAGAAAAAAAAAGTTTGGGCTATACATACCATTTAAATCTACAAAAAAAAAAAAAAAGTTTTTCATTGTTTGTTCACCAGCCAGGAAGTGACGGAAAATATCCAAAAACACAATTGTCAGCAGGACAGAATCTAAGAAGTAATCTCTCCAATAGCGTTGCAGATAGCAGTAAATATTGTACAGGGGATCTAACGCTTTAATAGGAAGTTCATTTTACCACCCCCCACCACCTCTTGTTGGTTTTTTTTTTTTTTTTTTTTTTTTTGAGTTAGCCACAAAAGCATACTCACATTCTCAGTGATCCAGCGTTCTGTTGGGATCCATCGCTGAGCTGCTTTACACCTCGTTCTGTATCACCATATTTTATTTAATGTAATTGGAAACCAGTAGTATCTTCCGGGTTCATGCAACTAGGCACCTCATGACATGCAGGCACCATGGCGCATCATTGGGGGTGGGGGGCGGCTGTAAGAATCAGCTGGCCCCTTGATGACATGACACATTATAGAAAAACAAAAAACAGAGGGCGCACTGGCATTACCTTTTAAAAGTATGTTTATTACATTTGAAAGAAGGTATTCTACTCACAAAAGTACATGAATATAAGCACATCTGAATGGTGAGGAGAATGATGGACATCCAATATGGCTGACACATTTCGAGGACTAGCCTCTTCCTCAGAGGCTCTGAAGAAGAGGCTAGTCCTCGAAACGCATCAGCCATTTTGGATGTCCATCATTCTCATCACCATTCAGATGTGCTTATATTCATGTACTTTTGTGAGTAGAATACCTTCTTTCAAATGTAATAAACATACTTTTAAAGGTAATGCACAAGGCTGGTGCGCCCTCTATTTTGTTTTTCTCTATTAGTACTTTTGGACTCCCCGGTTCTTCGAGGGCAGCAAGGTGTGGATATTCCAAGACATTCGTTGTGTAATCCCTATGACATAGAGTCCATCCGAAAGCGCAGGAGTATTTGGTTTTCCACTTTCACATCACATGCACATTAGAGCGCTGAGACCTCCTGGGATGCCTGATGTGGGTATGCAGGTAGGTTGCAGCCAACTGCCTAAATGAGAATATAGGAAGTGTGAAAAAAGGTAATGTGACAGAACGCCTGTTTTCCCGATTGGGTAACTCCGTCAGAGAACCACTTCCTCGCCACTGGGACATAGGACTAAGGTATTACAGCCGGGATTGCACCCAAGACTAGACTAGCTTAGATGCCAAAACTGGCACCCTTTATTGAACAGAAAACATGTTTTTACTCAATCCAGAAATAGGGGCAGTGCCCCCACATGAACAATAAAACAAATATTACACATTGAGATAAACATCCCACACCGATTAGGTAAGATTAGTAGCTTGATCACAACAGTACTGCCAACTACTAACTGTTATCTAATTAACTGTTAATCAACAGCCAGGCATTCGATCAATACTTTGATAAATCAGGGAGCCCACTACAGGCAGCCTGGCAACAAACCCACCCATGAATACACAAAGTCCATTACACATGCTGTCTTTCAGGTTTGCTTTCACTTGTATAATCTGTCCATCACAAGACAACCCACACAACACTCCGAAAAGTGGAATCAGCCCATCCTCACAGCCTTCCCGAGGTAGACCATTGACAAACATCTCCATCCCAAATAGAGGAGCCTCTCCAACCCAGTCCACATAAGGGCCACCATATTTCCTATGACCAGCAACCCGTACAAGATTACTATTACATCTTTCCATCCACTCCAAAAGGGAAGATTTATTGTCTTTATGCAGAAAATTAATCCAAGCCTCGCTCTCAGCATTCTTCACGTTGTCCATCATTAGAGCATGATCTGCTCTCTTCATGGGCCATAATCAGTGGGTAGAAGGCTTTCCCCTAGTTCCTTCCAAAAGCCCCTGTCCTGGTTGGGTCTGTCGCAGGTAATATTAAAAAAAAAAAAATAAAAATTCTGAGAGGGATGTAGGGGTGAGATGGCAGAGTACATGGGGAGGTGAAGATCTACTTTAAGCCTTTTGTAAGCCCCATGTCCATTTCTCTTTTCTCAGGTGATCGATGCAGACAAGAACCTGGAAGAGATGACTCAGCACTATGAAGAGAACCGTGGCAAAATTCTGTGTGCTTGACACGACGACGTTCTTTCCTATGACATTCCGAAGACCAATAGTGACATCCCATGAAGTACATTTGTGCTGCTCTTCGTGCAGGCAGCTATTTGGTGCACCAAACCAATGTTTCTGAGCATGCAGCCTGTGCGTTCCCGGGGCATTAATAGGCTGGACAATTTCCATTTCACAAGGTGGCTGCCTACATGGCATACATGCAACTTTTCTGGAATTAAACAAGTTGGATTAGTATGTAGGGGCCAAATGTTTAGAGACAGACTTGCTTTCAGTGGACCAACGTGTATTTGGATTCGGTCACAAATGGTCACTGGTAATGCTCTACATCTCTATGATGATACCAGACAATCAGAAATCTGTCATATAACAAAGGCACTGACCGACATTAAACTAAGGGCCCATTCCCACTTCTCCAATGCAGTGTGTTGCAGTAATCTCATGCCGCAGGACTTGACAAATTTGCTTTGGCTCCTAACTTTTTTAGCTGGCTCCCAGATTCATTTTTTTTTTTTTTTTTTTTTTAGCGTAGCGTGGGTTGTCAGCACCCGGGGCATGGCGACTTCTGAGTGACAAGCTTTACACAATGATTTGGCGCATGACAATCGCAGCAAAACCGCACCACATTTTAGGCGCCATTGACAATAATGGCACCTGAACCTGCATTTTGTGATCACATCGATTCTGCCGCAGTCCCAAAACGCCCAGGTGTGAATGGAGCTGCCCTGGATCACACATATGCAATTCTGGATGTGTTTTCAAACTTACAGATTTGTATGACAGGCTAGATATCATGTGTTTCGCGTTGCGTTTTGAGTGCCAGTATGAAATGGGTCTGGTGTGAGTTTGTAGTGGCATGCGGAGATAAGTGTTCACATAGGATTGCTATTGACAGGAGTTTTTGTATTAAAGTCAATGGGAGGCCATTTTGCTTTGAAGTCTATGGGAGGCAATGTGTGAACCTAGGTGCCAGGATGCAAATTTTAGTCGTCAAGGTGGCTTGGGATTTGTCGAGCCCTGCCATGCCGTATCATTATTTTCAGTAGCACTCCAAACACAGTAATCCAGCAGAACCCTGATGCATTTCAGCGCATCACAATATCGCACTGCCATGTGTTGCATTGTGTTGGAAAAAACACTGGATGTCATTTTTTTTTGTTTTTTAACCTGTCATAGTGCATTGGCGACACATTCATTTGAAGGGAATGCCTAAAACCAATGCGCATTAACGCAACGTACTAAAATGGCAAAGTGTGCATGGGCCCTAAAGACTCTGCTAATGGAAGTTTTTACTTTCCTTCTGAGCCCTTTCCAACAACTTATCCTACTGGGGTTCCTTCTGTTGGCTTGAAAAGCTGCTAGCCATCAGCAAAACCACTTGGCTGATGAACTTGTGTCATTGCCATCAGTGAAACCACTTTTTCTGATGACCTTGTGTCATGAGACCAGACCCCAGGGGCTAGCTGCTTCTGTATGGCATGGTAAGGGAGACCTGTGCTCAATGATTTCCTAGTCTCCTGTCAGAAGTAGGACATCCGCTTTTATTTTAAAGAGTACCTGTACTCCATTATTACCTATTAACAGTCCTACCTAAG